GTCTTATTAGTAAGCCTAATTTATACTTTTGTAGCAACACTATTTTTATATAATGGCAAAGAAAGGGTTCAGTGTCTTTTCTCTTTTTCCTGTGTCGTATGTGGCAGCACTGCCACAAGTTCCTCTTCAGAGAGGGTCTTCAGTACAGGTTGCAATATTGTCACCTGCCTGCGCTCATCTCTGAAACCAGACCATGTAAACCAGCTGGTGTTTCTTGCAACAAATCTTTAAGAGATGACATGAGCAGCCCTCCCAGCATTTGCCATGGTGACCAAAACATTTTTATTTGGTCTTAAATTGTAGTTCAACATTTATTTCCTGTTACTTCTGGACAGTGGCGGCCGGCCCATAGGGGCGCTAGGGGCGCCGCCCCCCCTCTAACCACATGTTTGACTGTCATTAAAAATTAAAAATTAATAAAAAAATATATTTCCAAANTGAATTATGCTTAAAGTTCAGGGTAATCAACTGTTTCTCCAATAAATTGATAATTGATATCACGATTAATAAAAACGATTATCCATTTACTTTGAAAACATCAATTTATTGGAGAAACAGTTGATTACCCTGAACTTTAAGCATAATTCAACTAAAAAAAAAAAAAAAATGTATAAAGAAAAAAAGTAATAATAATAATAAAAAAATAATCGTTTCATTTCGATTACGTTGTTTTCGGAATCGTTGCAAGCCATAATCGTAATCGCGATTAAAATACGATTTAATTGAGCAGCCCTAATGGAGAAGTGAACTACATGTCAAATAAATACAATAAGAGAAGGATGCAAGTGACCGAGTAAAAGCTTTGCTCGTACACAATTACCCACGGACTCTCGTTCCAAGGGCATTTTTCCTGGCTGTTTTCTCAAGAATTGATCGAGTGCTTTTAGCCGCGCAACAGGAGCTCCATGTTGATGCTGCTTCAGTGAGAGTGGTGTTGGATCAGAGCCAGACTGCATCACATCCACTCATCTGCAGTAACTTCATTAGCTAATGGTGTCTTGCTCTTACTTCTTGGCCTCCAGCACTCTTACTCTGTGGAGCTGTATGATCCGTCAATATCCAATCACATTAATGCTCTTTCTTCTATCTGCATTAATGCGTTATGCTGGCACACACACACTCAGAATGTCTTTCAGCTCAGTGTGTCTGGTGTGTTCTTGAGCACTTGCCCCACAAACAGATATGGGACCAATAGTACAACAAAGTAATTCAATGAAAGCCATGTTTATTTTTTGTTTTTATAGAAGTCTCCACTTTTTACCAGATGTTCATGTTTAAAATGCAAGTGCGTCCACATGATCAGATCACTCATGGTATGCACATTGATCTATCCAGGAGGGTAGTCCCTCTGTAGAGTTTTATGGTTAAATGGAGAGCATTTCTGGCATTTTATTCTCACTGCCGTCCATTTTAAAGTTGCGAAAGGATTTCGTTTTTATAAAGCAATTGATAACTCTGGCCAAATCTAGTGGCCACTTAGTTTTCTTTTAAAACAGAGTACTGCAGCAACAACAAATTATTTAGTATTATTGGTGTTACTTGATAGTGCTTACAGACAAACTTATTTATTTCTCGGTTACACAGAAGAACAAAGGAGCATTTATCAAATCAAATCAAGTTGTATTGATAGAGCACATTTAAAAGCGATTTTTGGTCGAGCCAAAGTGCTGTACATGTAATAAAAACACTTTACTTCAATCACAATAAAAGACAATAATTTACAACAGAAATATAAAAAACAAAAACACAGGGAATAGTCAGGTGTCATACTCCGCTCTGACTAGAAGGCCAGAGAGAAGAAGTGTGTCTTGGGTGATGATTTAAAACCCCCTAGTGTCTGGACTGACCTCACATGGACGGGCAGAGTGTTCCAGAGCCTGGGGCCAGCTGCTGCGAAGGCTCGGAGACCTCGGGTTTGTAGCCTGGTCTTGGGCACTATCAGACCTTAAAGCTCTGGCTGGGGTGTAGCGATGGAGGAGTTCGGCTATATAGGCCGGAGCCAGCCCATTTAGGGCTTTGAAAACAAATAAAAGGATTTTAAAATCAATTCTGAACCAAATTGGAAGCCAGTGCAGTGAGGCCAGAATTGGGGTGATGTGGTCACGCTTTTTGTGGCCTGTCAGAAGCTGCGTTTTGGACTAGCTGCAGGCGTTTAATTGAGGCCTGGTCCATACCCACATACAGAGCGTTGCAATAGTCCAGTCTTGAGGTTACAAAGGCGTTAATAACCCTTTCTAGGTCTTTAAAAGATAAAAACGACTTGGTCTTGGCCAATAGTCTTATTTTAAAAAAGCAGGATTTGACTACGGTGCTGGCCTGCTTATCAAATGTAAAAGCGCTATCGAAAGTCACTCCAAGGTTCATGACAGAGGGGAGGATGTTTTCATTGAGAGAGCCCAGAATATCAACCGGATATTTCTAAGTGTTGCACTGTCCCAAGGAGAGTCAGTTTCATCTAGCTCTCTTCAAACAGAGACTGAACTTAACAGTTTATTTATTTTAACCTCAGGAAACGGTGTCGTGATCCACCTGCCAGGCCTGTTTGAAGAGGCAGAAAAAAACGAACGCAAAGGAAAAGGTGAGTTGTTTTTAAATGAAAAAGTTACAAAAGAAAAGTGTGCCTTTAGTGTTTGGAGACTCAACGTGTGTGTGTGTGTTTTTCTGCAGGTCTAAAAGACTGGGAGAAGAGGCTGATCATCTCCGACAGAGCACACATTGGTGAGTCCTCTGTGTGAATGTTGTTTGTATGTTTGCATGCAAAAAGGTGTGTGTGTTTGTGGAAGTGTGAGCCCTTCCAACTGAGGAGTGTGTGAAGTGTGTGTGCCCTCTCTTCCTCCTCTGCAGTGTTTGACTTCCACCAAGCTGTTGACAGTGTTCAGGAACAGCAAAGACAAGAGCAAGCAGGCAAGAAGTAAGAAACCTGTAGCTTTAAAAATAGCTACACACACACACACACACACACACACACACACACACACACACACACACACACACACACACACACACACACACACCATCAAACATGGAGGCTAGAACATTTTTTCTGTAGCAATAGGTATGTCTTTTATTTCTAATCTCATGAGTCACTGCCCACACTGTGAGCCTCCTTGTATTTTGACTGAAGAGAAAAACAACTCGTGGATTGTCAAAAAATGCTTTTTGTTGTTGTTTGAATCGTTAAAGCATTTATTTTAGCTGTTTTCTCTTTTCTCTGATGTGAATTTAAGTAAGATCTATTTCTTTTGTCTGGAGGATTTTAGATTTGTACCTTTTATTGTTGACAGAGCAACAGTGTTCCACACATTATACACTAAGGCTTCACAATTAACATAGAATTGTCCAAATTAATTTGTTAAATGTGATTTATGCTATGTTCTAAGTTAATAGCATCATCAGCCTTAGTTTGCGTTTTGTTTGCATTCTCAATTAAAACAACAGGTTGGTTCTTAGATACCAACCTTACAGAGTGTGAGCGAATGATAATTAAGCTCCATTTATGAAAATATCACTATTCTGCTACAGTAATTTTAGTACTAAAAACGTAACAGCCAAAGTAGAAACGCTCAATATAGATACCTGTCCATGTTAACATATTATTATCCTCTATAATACATGCAATTCTTAAGTGAGATTGAACAGAAACGACATGTCCTCCTTCAGTCATTTTCACGTCCATGTGTACAGAAATGTCTTTCCACAGTGGCACACATGAACATTATCTCAGCTCTGCTCTGCCTGCAGGAATCCCAGGAAAGGTCAGAGGTCAGAGGTCAGGCAGAGCGTAGCAGCCCTGCAGCAGGTGGTGTTTCTAAACAGCAGCGTGTCATCCAGACACTAAAGAAAACACAATTTCCTGTCAGCAAGCATACCACGAGACTTAACAAAGATACAAGGATTTCATATAGTTATGGTTTTGATTTAAAGACAAAAACAGGTATTCAACAAACACTATTTGTAAAACGATTATATTATGATGATATATTAGCCTGCGCAGTGAACCTTACTGAATGGTATGTTGTGGAGTCTTCACAGTATTAAGCTCAATAGAGACCGTGTATTCCTGTTCAAAGCTGGACTGTCTTAACCAGCTCAGCAACCAAAGCCCTAAACAACCAGCCAGAAAGTGTGTGTGTGTGTGTGTGTGTGTGTGTGTGTGTGTGTGTGTGTGTGTGTGTGTGTGTGTGGTGGGTTGGTGTGGGTGGTGGGGGTGTGGGGGGTGGGGGCGTGGTGGTGTGTGGCGCTGTGTGTGTGGTTGGTGGTGGCTGGCGTGCTGTCACTGCTGGTGTGTGGGTCGTACGAGATGGCCGGCGGGCGGGGGGCCTCTGCCGCCGGAGGGGTGGCGAAGCAGGCTGAATGTTATGGGTGGAGTGGTAAGAGGAAGATGGTGTGTGTGGATGTGTTGGGGTGCTGTTTTTGAGGAGAGCGGAGGTTACCAGAGGGTGTGGTGTGGTGTGGGAGGACATGATGGTGAGGTGTCTGTGTAATAAGGTGGTGTGTGGTGTTGTGTGGAATGATAGGATAGG